AGTAAGTCAGTAAATGAGCTAACTTTTAAAATAACACAGAGGAAGTAAAGTAGAAAACTGTTAGAAATACAGTAAGTCAGTAAATGAGCTAACTTTTAAAATAACACAGAGGAAGTAAAGTAGAAAACTGTTAGAAAAGCACTTTCTCTCTGCTTAAAGGAAGCCTGTATAAATCTACATTACTCTAAATGTTAACATAGTTCTTTCATGCAGTAATTCTTTTATTGTACAGACCAGAACTCTATGATGTTTGTCTATTATCTGAAGATAAGGTTGAGTTTCCTTGTCATCGCTGTGTCTTAGTGGCTCGTTTGGACTACTTTCGGAGCATGTTAGGGAGTGGGTGGATTGAGGTAATGTACATATATTTAATAATTAAAAGATGCACAACATTTTGTTTTATGTATCTATAAATTATGTTTCTATTTTACCAAATCTTCCTACTATTGTGTAGGTGGAATGGCAGGCATAAGATGATTTCTCAGTGGTTTCTTTTATGCTACCTTTTTCCACTCTTCTCACTATATTCTTCTCTCTCTGTGGTGGATGTGAGATAATAGCTGGTCTTTAATATCCAAAGTTACAAGTTAAAATAGACCTCAGATGCACTTGTTTGTGAGAACTTTTTCTGGTGTATATCATCAATCTGTTTGGCTTGTTTCAAGAGGCTGAAGGTGTCTGGTGACATGTTCCAAGAGTTGCCTCAGTTAATTTTGTATCTTTGTCAACAAGGTTTCAAATAAACAAACCTATTGCTTGTTGGCACTGGATATAGTGTGGTTGATATATTATTACATATTCTTTGCTTTCACTGTTAACTTCATAGAATATCTATACATATTTTATGTTGTCACATGTATTTTGTATGTAAAAACTATAGATAACATTGTAAACAACTGATTTGTTACTTACGTCATTTAACAACAAGATAATATTTTCAGTTCAATATATAAAAGTTCAATAGTAGGTAAAGAGCTACAATAATTTTAAGTGACACTGAGTCCTTGTTATCGCAAAAGGATCATGTCAGATGTGTGTGATGTAATATAAATTGAAAATATATTATTTTGAAAATTCAATAAACATTTTATAACAAATTTAATCTGAGATTTTTTTTTTTTCCAGACGAACCTTACTGATTCTTTGCCTCTTCCAATCCCTTCAGAAATATTAGAAATTATTGTAGAATATATGTACACAGATGAAGCTCCAAAAGTATTTGGTGTGTTTTTGTTCTTTTTTTAATATAGGAATGTTAGTTTTTTCTTTCAGTTTGTGTTCTGACTGTTTCTTTTTTTTTATCTAGGTTTAACATTTGCCATTGTTCCAATGTGAGAATTAGTTGCTGGAACAAATTGCCGCCTTTTTTTTCATTGTTTAATAACAAAAACATGAAAATGAAATTTTAAAATTAGATTGATAAAAGTATTTAAAATGTCCCTTAAAAAAATGAGTATTCATATATTTTACTTTAAAGAATTTTAAAATGCGAACATCAACACAAAGAAAAACTTGAAACCAGTTAGTGTTTAATGCTTATATTCAGAAAATAAGCTGTATTGCTGGGTGACAATTGTTCCTGTTTTTGAAAACAGTAATCTTAACATAGTGGACAATAAATGTCAGTTCTCTACTATTTTATTTAAACTAGTTAGGAGATCAGTGCATTTTGAAGGTTATATTTAATTTATTGTAAATAATCAATACTGTAGGTAACAAATAGAAAAAATAATTAATAATGAGCCTGTCGTCAGCTTACTCTGGAAGTATTATGTGTTATGGCATAGATCAGTGTTTTCCAAACTATGTTCCGCAGAACACTGGTGTTCCGTCCAAGATTGATAGGTGCTCCGTGAGAAAATCATGATTTT